AAAAAGTAAGTCATCATCAATCTTTATTAATCTCATCATCATCATCATCTCGGAATTATATAAACTTCTTAAATTGTTAAACCTTGATTGATAGTGTGTCAAGTAATGGACATCATTTTCAGAGTCCAAGGAGAAGGTGATTAAGAATGTACAGCCCTGCTGCGGGTCGATCCGTGGGCACCATGTGACCGGCGCCGCGGACTGTCGTAAAGAGAAGACGCCCATCGGCGTACTTTTTACCAAAACCTCCCACTTTTCCACTGTAGTCGAACCAGGCATCTCTTTCAGTAGCTGTTTGGTAGCCAAGGCCATCGATGAGCCTAAAAGTTTTTTATTGAAAAATAAGTCGTTTTGAAAAAAATCTCTTTAAATCGTTTACTCACATCTGATCGCCGACAAAGTTGCACACCGAGTCGAGGTCTCCATTGTAGAGGATCACCTTCAGCCGACCGCTGTCTACCATCTTCTTCAGCTCAGTAGCAACATTTCCGCCATTTGGGGCATTGTAGTGGTCATTGCCGCCGCACATTGTCCACCTTTTGCCTTGATTAAGACTTACGTGAATTACCCTTTGAAGGTCGGCCCGATTGAAGTAGTCAGTCAGGTGGTTGTCGATGACTACAAAAAACTAGTTTTTAAAAAAGAGTTTAAAGTATTTTTTCAAAACTTACCATTACTTTCCTCCTTGAGAATGTTGTACTGGTCAATGTGCAGACGGCTGAGCAGAGCGTAAAAATCATCCTCACTACTGTTCACTGAATCGGTGATGCCGTGGTAGTAGGCGAACAGGTTCACGTGGCTGTCGGAAGTTAGATAGCCGTTTCCAATTGCCACTCCCCGGAAGTTCGGCGGGAATTTCTGTCCCAGCAACTCTACTGACAGCTGTGGAACGTAGCGGCCGGCGTAGGACTCGCCGGTGATGTAGAAGGGGTTTGAGGTGAGATGGGGAAATTTGACGGTGAAGAAGAATTTTAAAGCAGCGAAATTCTGTGCCACAGTTCGCTCGTCGGTGTTATTTGGCGGAAGGTTGTCGGGATGAGTAGGGAGTGAAAAACCAGTGTAGACGGGCGACTCGAGGTAGAGGACGCTGGCGTTCCGGTTCCAGGAAAAAGGATTTTCTGTGATGCTGCCGTTTGCCTGAATGAGAAGTGGGCCATTTTCGCCAAAGGCGCCAAAAAGGGACGAGCAGCTAAAAACAGAGAGAGAGAGAGAGAGAAAGAGAGAGAAAG